CCTCCCCCCTCCTCCTCCTCCCTCCTCCTCCTCCTCCTCCTCCTCCTCCTTCTTCTTCTTCTTCTTCTGCCATATCCGTTATCGGACATTGATGATCCTGTTGGCGATCCTGTTTTTATCAGCAGCCGCACAAAAAAGTGCTGCTGAGTTTTGTCTAAACCAGTCCCTTAGATCAGGGCTTTTCAACCAGTGGTACGTGTACCACCTGTGCTACATTGGCACCTGGCAGGTGGTACGCAACTATCCTAGAAAAGTGGTAGTGGGGGAGGGGAATGAGCTGAACCGGTGGCAGCACCACACAAGCCTGAGCGAGAGACGGCTGGAGCTGCAGGGCTGTCAGGGCTCAGCGGAAGCGCCAGGATCAGTGCCAGGCTCCAGCTGGAGCTCGGCGCTGATCCTGGGGCTTCTGCTGAGCCCAGAAGAAGCGCCGATCAGCTGGAATGTGGCAGCATCTCCAGGGTCTTGTGATTTATATTCAGATGCTTGGCAACTGATTCATATTTATGACGGTTACAGTGGCCCAGGGTCATGTGAAGTGACCAAAACCTGCTGCAACCACCCAGCAGATGGGAGAGGGAATAAAAACCAAACACCCCCCACCCCACCCCCGCTGCCAATCCTCAACAGAAATGCTCACAACAATGAAAACCTTGGACAGGAGGAAGAGCGCGGCCGGGCGGGCAGGCAGGTGTCTTGCTCGGCTGTGGCTTGGGGGCCACTTTTTTCAGTGCCATTGTAACTTCAAACAGTCACTAAGTGAACTGTTGTAAGTCGAGGACTACCTGTACTTTATCACTTTTTTCCTTTTTTTTTTGGTCATCGAGTTTTTGACACCTTGCTAGGTGACTGGTGGTACTCGGATGTTGCCATATCCTAAAAGTGGTACAATGGGTGAAAAGATTGAAAAGCCCTGCCTTAGATTTTGAAGCTACGATCTTCTTCTTCCGCCTGGACCTCGTTTGCCTTCCATCTTTCCCTGGAGGATGAAATGGAGTATGCCGTATTTTTCTGGGTGTCGCATCACCTGCCCGAAATATTCTAATTTTTGTTTTTTAATTGTTTTGATGATTTCTCTTGGCTTTCCCAGGCGGCTTATCACCTCCTCATTTCTGATCTTGTCAGCCCAGCTTCTACGTAACAGCCGCCTGTAAATCCACGATTCAAATGCTTCTAGAAAAACACTGCAAAGAGAAATTCGAAAGAATCTTAAAAGAATTGGGAAGAAAACTGAAGTCTCTTTCAGCAGGGGTGTCTAGGGAGATTCTCAGCCATCCAGGTCCTGGTTCTCCCAAAGGTGGTTTTTTTTTTTTTGCACACAGCGGCGGAAGCCTAAAGCGAAAAGGTTTTATAAAACCCAGCTGAAGGCCTAGGACTGGGGCGACGGCGCACGTGCCCACAGAGAGGGCTCTGAGTGCTGCCTCTGGCACCTGTGCCATAGGTTCGCCACCACTGGTCTACCACCTCTACTCAAGCTTACTAGCCAGCTGCTTCATCTCCTTTGTGCTGGATGGGGCTGCTGTTCCGGGCACCAGTGGTGGCCTAATGGACCTGCGCGAGCTGGCGGCAGCGGCAGGTGTGCCCACAGAGAGGGCTCTGAGTGCCGCCTCTGGCACGTGTGCCATAAGTTCGCCATCACTGACCTAGGCGGACTCTTGGCTGAAGACTGGTTGTGGGGGAGAGTCTGGGATGTGGGGGGAAACTTTCTGTATTATTTTGAGCATGGGATACTCAGCTCCAGCCTGACTTTACTGCAGCCAGCATCTTTTGGTAAAAGAACCTTTCACTTCAACCCAATGGAGTCGAGGGTCTTTCTTCCCTAAGGGACCAGACTGGGGCAGGTCTGACACCTGCGGCGTGATAAGACGGTGTGGCGATCATTGGAGGGACCCCACCCCGTGAGCTCTTTTCTTTTTTCTTTTTCGATAGGTGGGGGAGGCCCGAGCACTGTACAACATTGGCAATGTCTATCACGCCAAAGGCAAGGAGGCGTTGTGGACCCTGCCCCAGGAGGAACCAGGCCAGCTGCCCCGGGAGATTCAAGAGACTCTGCAAAAGGCGTCCGAGTTTTACGAGTGAGTGAGTGGTCTTCTCCAGGTGGAGAGGAGTGGGGGGGTCCCATTGAGGCCCTACAACAGACATGTCAAACACAAGGCCTGGGGGCCAGATGTGGCCTGCGAAGTGGTTTCATGTGGCCCACGAAGCCATCCTGGAAACAGTGAGGAAACGGCCCCTGCTGCCTTGGCCCTGGTCCAGGCCGGCCGGGAGCCAATGTACAATTTTGTGGTGGCCATCTATGCTGAAATGCATTCAGTCCTAGCTCCACAAGGCCGTCCAGAAACAGTGAGGAACCGGCCCCTGACACGTCAGCCCCGCCCCCTGGGTGCATGCTGGGGAGGTGTCACCCTTTGTGAGGAATGAAGAAATGGACCATGCCTTGGCGCTTGCCCCGGTCCCACCCCCCTTCTGCCAGAGACCCTCAGATCTGTCCCACTCCTGCCCAGGCCCCCACAGGCACCCTTGACGCGAACGATGTAGATCTGGCCACGCCTACCCAGTAGGCCACACCCACTCCATCCACGCCCACCCAGTAGGCTGCACCCACCCTGGCCACACCCACCTGGCCCCCCGAGGACAACCGCAATGCTGATGCGGCCCTCAATGAAATTGAGTTTGACACCCCTGCCCTACAAGATTCAGGGTGATCCTTGTGCGCTCTTGATCTTTCCAGGAGCCCTCATGGGTGGCAAAGCTGAGGCCGCAGCTTCTCAAACTTTTCCCTTGAATTGCCGCAAATTAGAAAGTCTTATCAAATTTCAAGGACCGGTCATAAGTCTTTTCCTCCAGCGCTGTCATAACTTTGAACAGTAGTAACTCGAGGACTACCTGTTTTATAAAAAAAATATATCACAGAAGGATCTTGATGTTATTTCAATATGTTATCCTTGGAACACTTTGGGAGGTTTCTGAATATATTTGAGTAGCCGTGCCAATCTTTCAGTGGATTTACATGCCCCTGTTGTGACAGGTAGGAGGGTTTTAACCAAGAAAAATATATCACTTTTTACCTAATTTTGGGATCATTTACCCAGGTTTGGGAAGCAATGGCCTATGGTGAGGCCGGAGCTTCTGATCTCCAGGAATATTGGGGGTGCAAAGCCTGGCTCTTCCTTTTTTAAAAAATTAGTTTTTACTAGCTGTACCCAGCCACGCGTAAAAGCGTGTGTTGCTTTTACGTCCAACAGATGGCGCTGTTTTTCAAAAAAAGCATGTTTTTACCTGTCACAGGTGTGACATCTATATAATATTAGGTATATAAAAACACGCACGTATTCGAATGCAACGTTGTGTCAAAATTTCAAAGCAATCGGTGAAGAACTTTCGGAGATTTAAGATTTTGAACAAACGGACATTTACATTTTTATTTATATAGATTAAGGTATTTTAACAGAACAAAGGCAATATATGCTTAGAAAAAAGTATGAAACTAATAGAAAAAAAAATGAACTGTTTCTGAGCTTCTTTACGGTGGGTGGGTAGGTAGGTAGGGTAGGTAGGTAGGGTAGGTAGGTAGGTAGGTAGGTAGGTAGGTAGATAGATAGATAGATAGATAGATAGATAGATAGATAGATAGATAGATAGGTAGGTAGATAGATAGATAGATAGATAGATAGATAGATAGATAGATAGATAGATAGATAGATAGATAGATAGATAGAGAGAAAGAGAGAAAGAGAGAAAGAGAGAAAGAGAAAGAGAGAAAGATGGTTGATAGATATAGATATAGATATATAGATATATATATAATTATAGACATAGACATAGACAGTGGTGGGATTCAGATATGGGAACAACCGGTTCTCTGTGTGGATGCTGCTTCCGGAAGTCCATTCTGAGCCTGGGCAACAAAAAATTAGCTACCGGTTCTGACGAAGTGGTGTGAACTGGCTGAATCCCACCACTGGATATAGATGATATAGATATAGAGGCCTTCATCCTGCAGTGGACGGACAACGGCTAAAATGATGATTAAGTGAAATGATAGAAAGGAGTTGTATATTGATCTAGATGTAGAATTAGAACTATCGTCTGTCTGTCTCTGTCTGTCTGCCTATCTATCATCTATGTAACCATCATCTATGTATCTGTATCTATCTACCTACTTACCTATCCATCTACCTACCTACCTATCCTTTCCATATTTTACCTAATCGTCAAGCCCACAAATCACAGCTTCATTTCTTTCCATTTTCAGCCGAAGGTCCGCAAAAGGTTTCCAGTCACCAATAAATATAACTATTGTCTTCTCCTTGGTATTTTTGGGCACCAAGGCGTTGGCGAGAACTCTGGGTACCTCTGTCTCCCCTTCCCAACCACTTCAGGTGGTTAGATTGTATTTGACTTGTTTCTCTACCTTTTGCCTCACTTTGAGGAGTTGGGAGAACGAATCCCTCCCCCACAGCCTTTCTACCCCTTAAAACCTTCCCAGCCCTATTATCCGTGCGGTCTTGGAAAGTTATCAATCAGGGTTGGGAGAGGAGACCACCAGGAAATCTCACAGCGCCTTTTCACTTCCTAAATATGCCTCTGGAGGGCAGGATCCGAAACAGAGCTCCAGGCAAAAGCCTGACTTGTTAATAAGAAAAGGGAGAAGGGATAAGTGAAGAAATGGAAGGGTGGGGATGCTGCTTTTTCAGGAGTGCACAATGTTCCTATTTGAAATGGCCCATGCTGGCTCTTTTCTCAAGGATTAATGGCTGCTTCTTTCTGACTTACCCTTAGGAGGAACCTCTCCCTCGTGAAGGAGTTGGCTGACAGAGCTGCGCAGGGCAGGGCTTATGGGAACCTGGGCAATGCCCACTACCTGCTGGGCAACTTCAGCAAAGCCATCGTCTTCCATAAGCAGGTGAAACACTTGTGTGTGTGTGCTTGTGTCTATGTAAGGACCCACCACACTTTACATCTTAAGAAGACAGAACTCTTGGAATATCTCTTCCAAGAGGCATCTTTATTAAGAGAGGATGGTTGCAGGCTATTGCAGGCATTCTAGACAGGATCTGAGGAGCCAACCCCTACCATTCAAAGTTTTAAGTGGTCCCAAGCAACCCCCCACCCCACTGTCCTTCCAGCAACGATCCCAGGCATTACATTTCCACCCCCTTTTCCTCACTGCCGGCAGAAGGGAGACTTCAGAGAGAGAGTAGATTATTCTAACCACTGCGCCACCATGGCTCAACAAGTGCTTTTGGGAACTCCTTGGTTCTTTGGTTGCCAAATGTACGTCAGCTGGGGAAGACTGGGACGAGGGTGCCCTAATGAAGAGGTGACATCCCTGCAGTGATACCCGTGACTTTATCCATTTCAGAGACTGAACATCGCTAAGGAATTCGGGGACAAAGCTGCTGAGAGGAGAGCATACAGCAACTTGGCCAACGCTCACATCTTCCTGGAGACCTTCGATATAGCCGCAGAGTATTACAAGTAAGCGGTGGGTCTCTCGGGAGAAGCCAACACCCTCCAGATCTGAGCTGCTTGGATTCATGGCGGTAGATCAGCAAAGGGGTCCCGTGTCCCAGTTGTTCAGCTATTGTCCTGAATGGCAGAAATAAACATGGGAGCCTCCAATAGAAAGAGAATCTTCCTAGCTCAAGGTTGAACTGGGAAGTCCTTGGTGCTCTCTGTATTCATCTGTTTTACCAAGATAAAGGAAGGGAGAGAGATTTAGGACAGCCCAATCACATCGGTCACACAGGTAATCCTTACGAACACAACTGAGCCCGTTGACAGGCAATTTACATGATCCCGGGATGCTGTGATTGTCGTAAGTATGAGTGGGCAGGTATCTGAATTTTGATCACGGGAATGCGGCAACGGTCCTAAGTGTGAAAAATGCTCATAAGTCACTTTTTTAGCGCCATTGTAACTTTGAACAGTTACTAAACAGTTATTCAACAGTCTGTCATGGTTCCGATAGATGAAACCCATCGAAAGAACTTCAAGGCAAGAATTCTTCTTCAAAGAACATTTTATTCAGGAAACAAAGTATCGGCACAACATAGTTGAACCCAAAACTAGTTTCCCTTCCCCGGATACAAAGTAACAAATTGCAATTCCCACCCCAATAAGCAGTCATAAATCACGTCCTCTAATTAGCCTGAAATGTGGGCTTTCTTCCCAGCTCCTCAGCCCCCAGCCCGCCAAACAAAGCAGCGTTTTTTATTATTATGGCTAGCTGAGCTCAAGCATTCATCCCAACACCCCTTTCTGCACCTGATCTCTAAATAGAAGAAAAAGCATGTTAAAAGCAAAAAGAGAAAATGGCTGCGATTTTCATCAATTGTCAGAGCGGGAACATCCAATGTTTACAGCGTTGACAGCAGTCACTTGTCTGAGATGGTATAGGTTCTCCTGCTTGAGTGGGGAGGGGGGAGTGAGTGACAAGTCTTTGTCATTTGAGGATGGGATCTAAAAACCGCCTCTTCTCTCTCTCCGAATTTAGGAAAACTCTCCACCTCTCCAGGCAGTTGAAGGACCAAACAGTGGAAGCCCAGACATGCTACAGTCTTGGAAACACATACACCCTTCTGGAAGACTATGAGAAGGCTGTGGAGTACCACCTAAAGCATCTGGCCATTGCCCAGGAACTTGGAGACCAGTAAGAAAGATCTGTTTTCTGTGGGTTGTTTTGTGTTTGTTTGTTTTTTTGAGCTGGTGTTGATGTTGAGGCCTCTTTTCTTAGAATGACAAACACGCAGTTCAGGAAGCTCGTTCAGTTTATGGTGAACTGGGAGGAACCGTCTAGCTTAGTGATGGCGAACCTTTTAGAGACCGAGTGCCCAAACTGCAACCCAAAACCCATTTATTTATCGCCAGGTGCCAGGTGGGCGTGACCCACTGGGTGGGCGTGGCTGTGGTGGTCATGACAGACTGGGTGGGTGTGGCCAAGGTGGACATGGTCACCTCTATATTGCTCGTGGGGAAGGACACCTGTGGGGGCCGGGCAGGGTTGGGGGAGATCCAGGGGGTCTCCGGCAGGTGGGGCGGTGGGCAGGAGACTAGGCGAGGCAGGGCAAGGGTGCCGTTGTTGCAAGGCGAGGCAGGGGCCGGGGCAGCTGCTGCCTGACACCATCGGCCTCCGCACACAGAGGCCAGCAAGCATATGGGGGCCGACAGTGTCCGTCAGCAGCCACAGTCTGCCAGCCCCTTGACTGGCGCACTCTGGGGCTCCACAGCCCGCCGCCAGCAGTTCAGAGAAGCTGCTTCTGAGCTGGCCGGCCGGCCGATAGCTGAAGAGGCGATGCAGTGGGTCGTGCCCTGGAAAAGGAGAGCATGCGAGGCCAGGAGGGATGGGATGAGGGGGAGAGAAACTAGCCATGCTGGGATGCATCCGGCCACGTGAGACCGCAGTGAGTTAGCGGGCGGCTGGTTGAAGAGGGACGGTTGCCATCTCTGGGGCATGGCGTGCGTGCCCACAGAGAGGGCTCTGAGTGCTGCCTCTTGCATGCCTGCCACAGGTTCGCCACCACTGGTCTAGCTTATGCTGGTGAGAAATGAATGGAAGGTAACAGATGGTGACTCCCAAGGATAGAAGCCATGTTAGGCTTTGCTTGGCTTAAGTTAGCTTGGCATGAATTAAGTTGGGTTGGGTTGAATTGGGTTAGTTGGTGAGATTGAGATTCTATGGTAGATTTTTTTGTTTTGGGATAAGAGCCGACCACTTGTCCAGTATGCAAAATATTCTCTCAGTTCAGTCCCAGAGGAGAAGCTGAGATACCTGGGAAACAAGGGTTATCAAGGCCTTGGATACCAGCAGGATGAGGTCCTGGGGGATTCCATGCATGTACTTCTGGCTCTTTCCCTCATACCCTCCCCCATTTCTTGGGATTGCTAAGGGAAAGGAAGGACTGGCTTCAGTTGCTGTAGTCCTTCAATCGTTCAATTCAATCAGAATAGAGTTAGAAGGGACCTTGGAGGTCTTCTAGTCCAACCCCCGGCTCAAGCATAAGACCCTATGCCATTTCAGACAGATGGCTCTCCAGGCTCTTCTTCAAAACCTCCAGTGATGGAGCACCCACAGCTTCTGAAGCCAAGCCACTTCACTGGTTAATTGTCCTCACTGTCAGGAAGTTTATCCTTAATTCCAGGTTGCTTCTTTCTTTGGTCAGTTTCCAACCATTGTTTCTTGTCTTCTGGTGGTTTGGAAAATAAGTTGACCCCCTCCTCTTCTTTGTGGCAGCCCCTCAGATACTGGAAGACTGCTATCATGTCCCCCCTAGTCCTTCTTTTCTCTAGACTGGCCATACCCAAATCCTGCAGCCGTTCTTCGTACGTTTTAGTCTCTAGGCCTTGGATCATCTTAGTTGCTCTTCTTTGCACTTTTTCCAAAGCCTCAACATCTTTTTTTGTAATGTAGTGAGCAAAACTGAACGCCTTATTCCAGATGTTGCCCTTACTAAGGCTTTATAAAGCGGCAGTAATACTTCACCTGATTTTGATTCTGTCCCTCTGTTTATACAACCCAGGATTGTATTAGCTTTTTTGGCTGCTGCCGCACACAGCTGGCTCGTGTTTAAGTGATCGTCCTCTAGGACTCCAAGGTCCTTCTCACAGTTACTGTTTTTGAGCCAGGTTTCGCCGTATCAAGTATCCAGGGATAGGCAACCTTGGCTCTTTTATGACTCGCGGACTTCAACTCCCAGAATTTCTGAGCCAGCATGAGGGAAACTTTGGCCCCTTCATGACTCGTGGACTTCAATTCCCAGAATTCCTGAGCCAGCATGGGGGAACTATGGCCCCTTCATAACTCGTGGACTTCAACTCCCAGAATTCCTGAGCCAGCATGGCTCAGCTTGGAAACCTCTCCCTTTCCCCTCACCATGGCTGGCTCAGGAATTCTGGGAGTT